ATTACAGTTCCCCTCCCGCACCCAACTTCCAAAGTGGACATACAATCACCCGCACACTCGTCCATGCACACACACACACACACACGCACACACACACACTCGTGAACACCAGAGGAAACAATAGGCTGAGTTTAGATGGGTCAGGTAATGAACGGCACATCATCAGCGGAGCCATCTGCCCTGGCAGCAACAGATCCACGGCAGCAGCCAAGACACCGGCCCATGACGCCCAGTGGCGTTGGGCAGAAACCCCCACCAGTGCCCGGGCACTACCCGGTGAGCGCCCCGGCCGCCGCCGCCCCTGACCACCGGCCCCAAGGCAGAGGGCTCCGCAGAGGAAACACTGGAGGATTTAAGATATATAACATCTAAAATAATAAAAGCTAATAATGATAAAAAGTAACTGATAAAAAGTGATTATAAAGATAGTAAAAGAAAACATAATCATATAAAAACACTAAGATGTAGATAAAATGATAAAAATAATAAAAGAGATAAATATGTATTTATAGATAAATAGTGATCAGTTAAAAGCTAAGCTACTCACTTCAGTTATGCACGAGTCTATCATGCAGGGATATGAGTCGACACACAGTGTAGCTTCCCATCAACCAAATGTTTTAACAAAACTGTCCACAAAAGTTCCTATAAGTCCCAATGGTTTAAACCACCCTTATTTTAAAAGTTACTTTTTAAAGGGATTTTCCACCCAGAACTAAAATGTTGTCTACTGACACATTTTCCAGCATTACATAAGTGGGAAAAACAATTTGTATGTATTTGTATGGTGTGTTGGGGCTGCCAGTGGAGGCTTACAGCTGTGCTTTATCATAAAGTAGTCCCATATGACATGGTGACTGTGATTCCTTTATGTTACTAATTAGTTGAACTTGCAGTCGGTCTGATTGTTTAGGTCACCGAGGAGAAATGGGATCACTACTGACTGATTTTAAGGATGTTTGTACTCACCATGCTAGTTGGATCCATTCACTTGCTGTGTTTTATGCTAAGCTAAAGCTAAAGGAGTGCAGCCGGGTCAGGAGAATGACTGGGATGGTTACAAATAGTTTTTTCTCACTTATCTAATTCTGGGAAATATGACAGCACACCAAATTTACATTTTGGTGGTCTTGCACAATATGCTTTCAGACTTCATGATGCTTTTTCTGAAAGTTGTTTTTGGACTTTGGCTGACTTTCCACCTTTTCACTGTAATTATGACCCCATACAGTTGTATGCACAGTATGCTTGAGACATGAGGACAGGGGAGCAGTGTGCGTGTGTGTGTGTGTGTGTGTGTGTGTGGGGGGGGGGGGGGGGGGGGTAAAACAATCTCCTACAGCACATTAACAGTATCTGAAAATGTTTTTAATAGATTCAGCAAAAACAGCAACCAGAAAAACTGTTGCTAGCAACAAAGTTACCACCTAGCAAGCTGCATAAGTGGATACTAGTTATTGAGAGGGTTACTAGTTAAAATTAGGATTCAAGTTTTCCATTAAACTTTTACAAAACACTGACTCGTACTTTTAGGAGGCCTGAATGATGGATATGTCAGAGATAAAAGGGTTCAGGTACTAAACTGCAAATGAGTGAAAAGTCAGCCACTGATAAACACCTTCAGAAGAGCAGATGCTCAAGGCTACATTGAAAGATCCCAATTCTGGGACAATTCCAAAATGTTTGCACAGGAACAGCTGCACATGTGTCATTTATTTGTCAGTATATTTTACTGAGAAGATACATTTTCATTTCCACTTATTTTAATTTCCAGCATCAGTTCTGTCGTCAGGAGGAGGTGAGGTGAACAAAGACCGGAGTGCTTGAAGGGTATGCACATAAACAATAAAGATGGGTGGTGCAAAAGGACAAAAGTCCTTTAAAAAGATAATAGGTTAATTATTCACAATTGCAGGCAGCAGAAATAACCGTGCCAACATCATTAACTTAAAGCATGGTGCATGGTGGAGGAGGTGGTGGTGTGCAACTGTGCCTGAGACCTGTTTTACTTCTACAGTAATCATCCATCACATCCTCTGCTGAGATGTGCCAGCCGTCTTTAATGGTCTATGCTGCCAGGGAGGGTTCCATGACAATGGAGTGTCCAAAGGTGACATTGTTTGGTTAGGGTTTCTATATTAATCATCTTCGTATTTAGTCAACTTGGTTATATGGAAGCCGTTTGCATGGCACCGGTGGGTAAAGTTAAAACGTTTTTGAAGAACCTTTAAAAGATGCCAGTGCAGCCTGAAGTTATAAAGTCAACTTGGTTAGAATCACTGCTAAGATAAAAATGAGCGCTGCGTGGAGAAGGGAAACAGAAGCATTTAACCTGCAGCCAGTGGCTTCTTAATGGAGCGTTCACATCTGGGCCAGCACGGACCCGAATGGGTAGCTTTTAGAGTGTTAACATCTAGGTGACCTTGAATTTATCCATGCTCAACCGGTCGGTTGTTCGGCTCACAAAGGAAATCTGCTTCGAGCTGAACAGATCCAACACACCCACGGCCAACTGACTGGCCAGCTCAAGTACACATCTACCGTGAGGGGGAGCTTCCGACTGGCGGATAGAATCAAGCAGCAGGAGTTCCCGCATGCATGTTTCATCATCATTCTGTATACTGAGGAGTAAACATTACCTCTGACTGAAGCTCACACACACACACACACACACACACACACACACACACACACACACACACACACACACACACACACACACACACACACACACAGCGCTGAAGTGCCGTTGTTTTCAGGGAGATACCAAAGACGTGTCTTTTGCCCCGCTCACATGCTCGGAGATTTCCCCGTTCCTGAGAAGTGTGTGTGAACAAACCCTACCGGTGCAGGACCCGGACCGGGCCCAGATGTGAAACTGCCATAAGGTTACCGTGATGAATCGGAAAATTAACGAGCTGTCGAGGAATATTGGCCGGATCCCGGAGCTCAGAGATGGTTTGCACCGCGCTGTGAATTCACACTCACATAATTGTCGAGATGAATCGTAAGCTTGGAACTTTGGCGGAGATTCATTCTTTGGCACAAAAGATGGATGCCATCAAGGAGAGAGTGGACGAATCAGCACGGATTGGGATAGATTAATGTCCATTATTGGGATTTTGAGAGGTTGAGGACCAACAAACTGTAAGACAGAGTGGAAATTATCTCTGTCTGGACCCCAAAATAATTTCTAATCGCAATCTGGCACCCTTGAGCCTGCAAGGCTCCAACGAAAACTCCCCCCTCAGAAGATTTGTGGAATGTGCCATAGCAACTCAACTCTGTCTCCTATCCCAGCCTGGGCAGGACAGCAGGAAGGCTGCTGAAACATTCCAGGGTCACTGCAACCCTCCAACCCTCAATGCTCCTCCCCTATCCACACTGAGGTGACATGCGCTGCTTCTATCATGGCTGCAGGAACTGAAGTGGGGATAGTCCCAACCCACTACCCCACCTAGAGGACACTTATGTTGTGTTGTCTGAAGTCTGTTGCATATCTGTCTGAGGTGTTTTTTTGCAGAGCAAAGCTGCCCTCTCTATGGAGGGTAGCTCTGAAGTGCCTTTTTTCCCTCCACCTGAACCAATCCTCATGTAACCTTATCTCTATTAAGGTAGTGCGACTCAGAGTTGCGAATGACCACAGTCATGAATTCTTGTCATGTGTCTTGCCCATGTGTGTCTGATCTCTGAATTGTGTGTACTGAAACTCTAATTTCCCTCTGGGATTAATAAAGTTTGAACAGAGAATTCTGCTGTTGTGTCCTTGGGCAAGACACTTAACCCACGTTGCCTGCTGGTGGTGGTCGGAGGGACCGGTGGCGCCTGTGCTCGGCAGCCCCGCCTCTGTCAGTGCGCCCCAGGGCAGCTGTGGCAACATTGTAGCTCATCACCATCAGTGTGTGAATGTGTGTAAATGGATGAATGATACACTGTAGTGTAAAGCGCTTTGGAGTCCTTACTCTGAGAGGCGCTATACAAGTGCGGGTCATTTATCATCTATCATAAAGTATCTTTGATTGATTGAAAAGGGTAGAATGCCTCCTCCAAGTCAGGGAAGAGGTCCTGCCCCAAATGGAAGAGTTTAAGTATCTCGGGGGTCTTGTTCACGAGTGAGGGAAAGATGGAGCTGGAGATCGGTATGCTGATTGGTGCCTGCGTCTGCAGTGATGAGGGCGTTGTACAGATCTGTTGTAGTGAAGAGAGAGCTGAGCTGGAAGGCAAATCTCTAGATTTACTGTTATTCAACGTTCCAACCCTCACCTACGGTCACAAGCTTTGGATAGTGACCGAACGAATGAGATCACGGATACAAGCGGCTGAAATTAGTTTTCTCCGCAGGGTGTCTGGGCTCTAAGAGGTTCGAGTCTCTGAGAGGGGCTCGGAATAGATCCGCTGCTCCTCCACATCGAGAGGAGCCAGTTGAGGTGGCATAGGCTTGGATATCTTGGACGCCTCCCTGGTGAGATTTGACCAGTTTGTTGAGGAGAACAACCAGTCTATGGAGACATTTAGGTTGTGTGACAACACCATCTGTTCAACATTCAGCAGACCCCCCCCCCCCCCCCCCCCGAAAAATTAAATAAATAAAATAATTTAAAAACCATGAAACATGTCCAGATACCAGTTCATACACATTAACGGTTAATTTACACTCGTTGTTGTTCCAAAAACATCTGGGTTTTCACCATTTGAACCGTGGCTATTTGCTTGTTTCCCAAACCTTTATTTTGAAGCTACGGGGCGTGAAAATGGACAAAAATCACGACAGAATCGCGAACAGAACGGAGTGAGTGGGAAAGAGCGTAAGGTGCGTGACCTGCACCAGGAACCCTGCGGTTATATTATGTCCTGTACACTGTGCGACTTTTTCCACTTTTTTGAGCCGATTTTCCACTCGTGCGAGAATCCACAAGATCGGGGCGAGTTTTGCGCTGAGCGTCGTGAAGAGATCATGCCAATGCTTAGCGTGGGTGAGGGAGGGGAGATGGGGGAGGAGGAGGAAGAGGAGGTCTGGTTGTGAGGAGGCTCATGTGATGATCTTTTGAATTCCTGTTTCCCCGCAGCGCAGCTTGTCAGCGCGAGCTGCGCGCCGCTCGTACGCATGTCCGTTCGTCTCCGACACAGAAGGACCTGACGGCTGGAGACCTTCAAGCTCGCCTCTCTTCATCATGCTGCTGCAGTTTTGAGCCTTTTTTTATTTGCCTCCTCTGAAGTGACGCAGCTGAAGTGGATCTGCAGGAGCAAACAGAAACGCAGCGTTGGATCGATGCTCATGTCCTGTTCGCGCACTGATTCAGACAGCCTCCGGGCTGCAGAAATACTACAATAGCATTTAGCCTCCGCTGCCTTCAAGAGGCCACCGTGTGTGAGTGTGTGTGTGAGTGAGTGCGCGTGTGTGTTGGGAGGAAAAACAGAGGATCGAGCTGAGGAAAAACGGAGGATCGAGCTGCAGCAAGTCGCCGGGATCGACGCCAAGGAGAGTCCTCGACCGTCAGGGTTCAACGCGAAAACCTGAGGAGCAGCCATGTCATCCACCAAATTCAAGAAGGATAAGGAGATCATAGCGGACTATGAGATCCAAGTCAAAGGTGAGTGCGCGTGTGCTTTATTTTCTACCACCTTACAGACTTTTAAAGTCACATGACAGGTTAGGCTGAGAAACTTGCCCTCCCTTTCAGAGGTTTACCCCGTCTGGTGGCATTTCTGGCTGTTAATTCGTCTGCATGTGGGGAGTTGGTGGCTCTGCACCTTTTGTTGCTGGGTGAACTCACTGTGTGGAATTCATCTGTGCAGGCTGGTGGTCTGGATCTGGTCCGGACAACCTTCTGCAGGTTCAGTTAAGCAGGAGTTGCAGGACTGTTCGTTTTGGGATGAAAAGTGTGCAGCTGATTTATTTGGACTTAACTCTTGTCAGTTTTAGTGCCGGGGCTCTTTTTTGCCATCCAAAATGCCAGTGCACATCTACTTCTGTAGCTTTCCACACCAGGCCATTAAAGAATCTGACATTGTTCAGATCCAGATGACGGCTGAATCGCCTCTTTGCTTTAGACACCCACCCTTCAGCAGTGCAAAGAGGAAGGATGTTAATTCACAGAGACTGCTGCTTGTTTTTCATTCACAGCTGGTGTGTTGCATAGCCTCCGGACACAGAGGGCTTGGCTCTTGACAGCCACCACCTCACCACATAAAGACGGTAGAGGGAGGTGGAGAAGGCTATAATGGTATTCAGATTGCACCTGTCTCATTGTGAGTTATTGCTTCATGGTTAATGTGTAGTCAACACAGCAGATGGGGCCATATCAACCCAGTGTCACCGATTAGGTCATAACAAGATGGTTTTATTATGTATGAGGTCTGATAGATAATTCCAGCGATGCAACAAAGGACAATTAAAGGCCTCTGGTTTCTTTAAGGAATTTTTATCACCCGACACCTTCCATACCAGAGTTTTAGATCATTTTCTACTGAAAATCATAGTATTATTGGCATGATCAGTAAGCTCTTAAAATATGAGTTATGGATGACTCAAAACCACCACGACATCAAATTGACTGAGTTGTAGCCATTTTAGCATTTCTTGATTAGCTGTCAGCCTCGTTTAATTAGGTTGACTTCATAAGTGAATCTGTTGTAGATATACGTTCAAACATTAAAGCAGTCGTGCGCTTTTAAAGTCTTTTTTCAACATTCAAACTGGGTTGTTACCAACACATATGATGGGATACCACTGAACCAACATCTAGCAGTAAACCTGAGACATCATTATTGGGCTGGTAATGTGGATTAGCTTTAGTGGCTAGCTTGATTTTTATTGAGTGTAAAAGTTGATCTGATGCTTATATGTGTGTGCACTTAATGGGCAATCAGATATTTTGGCTTTGTTCTATAATGGGCTGGTTTTACTTAAGTTTGATTTTGATAATAACAGTTTGTGGTTTCCATGACTGAAGATGAAAGATTGCATTTTCACCAACTGTACAAAATGACCAATGGTGCATTATACTTTAAGTGCTGCCTGACTCTGGTACTCTAACCCCAGCTTTTTACTGGATGCATAATGTCTGCAGAGTGCAATACGCAGCAAAAAGTCTGTTATAGTCACTGAGTTGATTTCTTCCGAGCATGATTGGACATGGCTCAGAAGCGTTGCGCCACTGCGCTCTGCCAAATTTACGCGCTACGTTTTCAGAACACATTAACCTCAGCAGTTCAGATCAGGCCAGACAGGAAATCAAACACGGGAAATGGGTAAATCACTTGGCAAATAACAAAATAAAGACACATGCAGATTTCCTATTGCCAGCAGCAATAACACAACCTCCATGAAAGAGGCACAAATAACAGATAATAAACCACAGACCATTTACATGCTGGTCTCACTCTTCGCTTCTTATCACGTGAACTAGTGTTATCACTAGTGTTATCACTTTTGATCTTGCAGTTCAGATTTGCGACTCTATTCTTTCCTTCCAACAGAATGCACCTGATGCATTCAGACATCAATTTTGATTGCTTCACAGCCAAACGGGACACGGTAAAAAACAATACGGAAAACCCCGCAAACCAAACCAAAGAATTGCCTGATGGTCATAATGGCTCTAAAGATAATCTTATCAGATATTCCTGCCATGTGTAGTGTGCTAAGAGTGCCCAGGTCTGCTTGCAAAGAAATGAGGACTGTGCCGATTAGTGATGCACCGGTATGAAATTTTTGGTCGATACCGATATCCGATATTAAGATCACTGTTGTGGCCGATAATCGATATTTGCCGATACCGATATACTGACATTAATGCTTCTAAAATCAGCAGATTTTGTATAGAATGAAAATTATTAAAGCTGAATTTATGCTATTATGTACACACAACACACACATTTACGCATCTGAGATGATTACAATCACTGTCACATGACTAAACAATTACACATCACCCCGCACCCTCTGAAACAGATAAACAAATAGAGACAAGACGGAAAAAATACCGGTTGCTAATTTCGGCCCGTTTTTATTTAACGGACCAATACCGACATGTCAAAAAATGACTAATATCGGCCGATACAGATATTGATGCCGATATATTGTCCATCTCTAGTGCCAATCATAAATCAGGAATATTAAACATCTTGGATTCTCTTGGCTTGACATTGGAGCGTGTGTGTGTTTGTCTGCACGAAGTGAGAAGAATCCAATATTTCTCTCCATCCGTCATCATTGTTCACTCTGAAGCTACGTTTGATCTTGAGAGGTTTCTCAGTGTGATCTGAGAATTTTTATGAGTAGCATTCCCTCCAAGAAGCTTGCGTGTGCAATTGCGCACCACTTCTGCATTTTTGCGCAAAGCAAATTTTGTACTTCCTTCCACAGATCATAAAATAAACCTGATATGAACACATACTTTATTCTGAGACAGATATTAATGCTGCTCATTGAGAGACAGGTGATTACATGCGGTAACTACAGTGAGTACCACTGTCCAACTCGCACTACTCGACCAATGTCATTAACACCGCTTTTGTGTTTGTACCAGGTAGTGGTCACATGATCATGGGACTTCCCAAAAAAGGAAGGTCCGCCCACTTGTTCACCACTCAGACATCAGTTCATTCATTCCTTTTCACGAGCTCCTATCTTCCTTTCATCCTCCAGAAAAAATAACGCACACAAAGGCAAAACCATCATTGCCCACCTTTAGCCTTTTGGCGATTGACGTTATAAATATCTGCTATTGTGTTTGTTATGGTCCGATGATGGGCCAGTTTGAATGCAGTGGCTATAGATGAGCCGAAAACATTTTTAACCCTTGTCTCTGATGAATTCCTGACCACCCCCAAGGCCGCCTGCCAAAGCTGGGTGATGGTGTTCGCTTCATTCAAGCTGTTCAGCTGCCTGATCCTGCATTTGCATGTCAATAGAGGAGGGTTCTGCCCCGAGCATGTGAGTTGGTTAAAAACCACTGTGCGGTTGCTGGACTGCTGCTCTGGCTCCCTTCTGTTTTTCATATTTATGAAGTGGGCTCAACTTCGAGCAGCTGCTTGGCGTTTATGACGGAAGCTTTAGGGGACAAACCTAGACTTCCTCATTGTTATATACACGCATGGGCTTTAAAATCCTGACAATCAGGAGGAGTGTGGTGGCTGCTGAGGGACGTGCTGGTGACAATTATCGCTCAGCTTCTCGAACGACCCGAAACACTTCTGACGTGTAGGAAGCTGGGACTGTGGTCACATCTTTTTGCTGTCCTTGGGCTCAATTGACCGAATGTCATCCAGTAGTGAATCACCACTAACATCCACTGGATCAGTATGCCTTTGCCTCATCGTTTTTCCTAAATAATGGGTAAATGAATGAAGGAAAGGACCACCAGATGTAAACAGCGGTGACGCTTTATGTCGATCACGCAGGCTTAAGGTGGTATTGTGGAGGAAGCAGGGTTTTCACACCTCTGTGTTCACGTTTCTGTTTGTTCGCTGCTGCTGTTGTTTAAACCGCAAAGCAAGTCAGTTCAAGATGCAAACAAAAGTTGGTCAAACTTTTAGAATAAAGTAATCATGACAACTCAGTGTTTCCCCTAGGATTTTTTCCAGCTGTGGCGGTGGGGCTGGCGGTGGGGGGGTTGCTTGGGGAAAAATTATGGCACGTCTCTAAATAAAGTAAAATTTTCTAGTGCAGAGTGGAGACAACCCATAGAAGCACTGATTTGATCTCATTTCAGAGAAAAATGGCACAGGTTAGATGCACCTAATAAATAAAATTACTAACAAACTCAGGAATCTTTCTTTGCTTCACTGTCCTGGTGCTGAGAATATCACTAATGTGGATCAAAGGAGATGCACAGATGAATGCACCTCTTATTTATTATTTGGAAACTACATTTACTGCAGCTGGCAGAGGCAAAGATTTTTTCTATTGATACACAGAATTTACAGAATCATTTTAAATTTTAATAGGGGAAGAATGCAGGAGGGAGCGGTAAAATACAGGGGGTCCCCAGCAAAAACAAAAAAACTTTATGAGTCTGATGAAACCCGCTGGTTTTCCATCAGGCAGTCACGGGGCAGCTCCAACGACCCAGTGGCTGTGCTGGGTCAATGTTATCGAGCTCAGTTCGGTACCAGCTCGGCCGTGAATGAGCCGAGGCGACGTCGTGCTCTGCTTAAGAAGAAGTGTTATTTTCCCGCTTCAGAAGAAGCGTCCAACGTGTTTTTACGCTTTCTCCGAGGCATGTCACGTCGGTAAGTTGTTAGCGCCACGTGCTAACACGTCAATAGTGCAACGTAGCCTGCTGGAGGTTTTAAGGGTTCAGATGAAAACACCCGACCTCTTAGGCTGCTCACACATCGATCTTATGTTTATGTTTATGTTTATTCATTTCGCAGACACTTTTATCCAAAGCGACGTACAATTTTTATAACCTATAGGGCATGTTGTGATCTGTGGGGGAAACCGGAGTACCCGGAGGAAACCCACGCATGCATGGGGAGAACACGCAACTCCACGCAGAAAGGCGAGTTTTGAACCTGCGACCTTCGTGCTGCGAGGCAACAGTGCTAACCACTGCGCCACCATGCAGCCCGATCTTAAGTTGTC